AATAGTTTCGAAAAGACAAACGGAATATTTGAATAATCTCCCTTGAAAATTATTATTTTTTTTTTTTTCTAATTTAAATTTAAACCTTGTTAAGATTCAAACGATAGACGTAACAGCTTTTTTCCTTTTTTTTCCTGATAGTGCCTGGACAATAAAATAATTAGGGGCACGTGTACAATAATATAAGAAAAGGATGTGTCTTCTCATCGGACTTATTCACCCTCTACAACAAGGCGGTTATGAGAGAATTAGAAGTCCTACCAGGATTCATAATTGGCTGCCACAATTTTATTCTTAACAATATAAGAAATGCAGGTGAAATAGTGTTGATGGCAGACACGTTAAGAAAACAGTACTGAACTGTTATATGATATCTGTCTTCCTGTATGGCAACGAATACTGGACAATCTACTTAAAAATGAAGAACAGACTTGAGGCCACAGAATTGTGGTTCTACAGAAAGAAAACTGAGGATACCATGGACCGATTATGTGAACAATGTCGAAGTTTTAGAGAAAATGGAAACAAAAAAAAACTTATACTTAACACCAGGAAGAGACAGTTGAATTTTCTAGGGCACACAATGAGGAAAGAGGGCCTGGAAAATCTGATACTCACAGGGCAGATTGAAGGCAAAAGGGGCAGAGGAAAACATCGTATGACATACTTAGTGAGCTTGAATAAATAGGTGATGGAACAAGGGTTAGGAAAGAAGATGACACTGTGTTGATGGCAGAAGGAAAGCTACAAGACTTCCGAGCGAAGGGAATAAAAAAGCCAAAAGAATTGTAATGAAGGGAAAATGAAATAAAACCAATAAATAAAATAATAATAATGAATAAAAAATAAATTAATTAATTTCCCCATGATGCAAGTTACCAAGAAACCGGAAAGGGTCTCTGGCCACCTGGGCTATTTATGACCCCATTTCCGGAAAGGACAGAATCTTCCTCTTGGCTTCAAGATGTGAACCACGCGTTCTCACTTGGGGGGGTTAGTATCCGCGGTCTACTGGCGGCTGAACTTTTTCACTTTCCAACGAGATCGTTCGGACATGTTTTCAGCAGCCTTAACCATGAAGTAGAGGTCTTCCCACCTCAGTGCGAGGCTGACTTAAGCTCGACCATGTTTACCCGTTCATATCTTTACTTCCCATAAATCATTTCAGAACCAAAAGGGAAAACGGATATACTCAAGAAACCTTCAAGTCTCTTCATCTGTAAATAGACTGTCCAGCATTCACTGCCATATAGGAGGATTGATATTATAGAACAGTTAAGTATTCTTTTCTTTATTTCCAACGAAATTTTTCTTTTTTTCTCATACTTTGCTTATTGTTTACCCGATCAAGTTGCTGGCAATAAGCGTTTGTAGTGATGGTCCTTTCATGTTCCATCAGCTTGTAATGGACGACACATTTCATATTAGACCAGGCACTAAGCAACGACTTATGTGAATAGATTCCTGATTTGGGGGTTGACACTGATTTCTCATTTTGTGATAACCGCTATCCTTTTTACTTTCAATTGATATGCAAAACTCATGCAAAACTCATTTTTCATCACCAGTAATAATGCGATTAAAAATGAACGGTTGGTATTCCTGGTTAGAATACTGCTATGGATGGAGGGACGTAGTGTTCTGTTCCCAAGCAAAAACTCATGAGGAACGTAGACTCTTTCTTTTGAAATTTACCCAATTAAAGACGGAAATGCACGAGAAACGAGACATTGTCGAGTAAAAAAGAAGATAAATTAATTCCAGATACAGTTTTGTACTGTTCTAATTTCCCAACAACCGAATAATGGTTTATTTAGGTTTATGGATTATTGTGTTGTCTTTTTTTTTATTATTTCACGCCAAACAAGGCGATAAAGCGACTAAGACGCAGTGGGTTATTGAGCGTGAAAGAATTGGAGAAAAATCATTATTAAGGAACAAGAACAATGAAAGAAGAGGAATTAAGGAGACAGAAGATAACGATTGACATTGCATCTAATTTCCGATCAAAGTTAACAGGAAAGCCAGAAGAGAGTTCCACAAACGAGAAATGCGAGAGAAGAAACTATTAGCATAGAACTTACGGTTACTGTAAAATGATGAGACCTTGCCGCCACTCTAGTCTTCTTCTTTTATGTGCTGTGCCCCTTCAAGACGTAAGCGATCATGGCCCTCCACATCCTCTTGTCCCTTGTTACTCTTAATAACGTTTGTTCTTTTGTTATTTCTCCTAGACCCTGTTCTGCCATCCACTTGCTTAAACCTGTTAAGTATGTCACACGCTACTTTCCCTTGTCCCGCTTTCTCTCTATTCGCCCTGTGAGTATCATACATTCAAAGCCCTCCTTCCTCGTTACGTGTCCCAGAAATTTCAGCCGCCTCTTCCTGGTGTTAAGTTTCCCCTTTGTTTCCCTTCTTTTCAAAACCACGTCATTGCTCACATGTCCGGTTCAACGTATCCTCAACATCGTTCTGTAGAACCATATTTCTGTTGTTTCGAGTCTCTTCTTCATCTTTGAGGAGATTGTCCAACATTCGCTGCCATACAGGAGGACAGATATCACGTAGCAGTTCTTTTTCTTTGTTTCCAACATTTTTTTTCTGCCTGGGAGTACCCTGCTTAGCTTTTGGAATGCGTCTTTGGACCATCACAATGTCTTCGGATCTCAGTGTCTCACTTTCCGTTCTCTATTAGGACATTCTTTCCAATCTAGTAGTGCATTTAAATTTATAGAGTCTAGGCACCACAGAGAAAAGTTCATCAGATAAATTACTAAGAAAGTATTTATAGAATAGACACAGAGAAGCTATGTTAGGATGGTGGAAAAGTGACTGACGCCGAGATGCCAGGTCAGGACCAATGACATTGCAGATTCTTCTTCTTTATTATCCAAATAAAATCTCTAAACTTATAGCAGGAACATCAGACCAGATGTGGCTGCAATATTCAATGCATGGACGAATGGTAGACTTATAAATATGTCAGATAGATTCTGGCGAGAAAAATTGTCTAGCTCGACACAGTGAGCCAACTTTCTTAGCAAGCAAACCTAGCAAATGATTCAATATAATCTTTCAACTTCATGTCAGTGGAAAACATTAGTCCAAGAAGGCTTTAAGACAGTTTCGAATAAATTTGACACTCTTAACTACACAATGAAAGTAATACTGTTTATTTTATTTTATTTCATTTTTTAAATCATTTTCCTACAAGCAAAGCAATAAAGCCACTAAGATGCATGTGGTTACTGAGAGTGAAAGAATATCAGAGAATAAATCTTATGGAGAGGAGAGAACAATAAAAGAACAGCAATTAAGAAGACAGAAAATTGACACTACATTTAAATTTTTGAAGATCAAAGTTGACTGGAAAGCAAGAAACCGGAAGAGAGTTGCACAAGCGAGAAGTGCGAGAAGAGTAACTGCTAGCATAGAACTTAGAGTTGATAAGTTGATGAGACCTTGCCACCAATCTAAGACTACGCTTAAATTCATAAAGTCTATGTACCAAAGAGGAAGATTCATTAGAACAATTACCTCGAAAGTATTTCTAGAAAAACCACAAGGAAACTACGTTACGGCCGTGGAAAAAAGTGACTGAGCCGAGATGCCAGCGCAGGGCCAGTAACATTGGAGATTCTTCTTTGGATTTTGTCGAGAATCTTTAAATACATACCAGTAACACCAGACCAGATGTGACAGCAATAATCAGTGCATGGACAAATGGTAGACTAATAAATATGTAAAATGGATTCTGACGAGAGAAATTGTCTAGCATGACACAGTGGTTCAACTTTCCTAGCAGCAGACCTAGCAATTGATTCAATAGAATCATTTCCACTTCATGTCATCGAAAAACGTTAGCCCAAGAACGCTATAGGGATACAAGAGGGTGATTATCTTCCTTTGGTAGAGATGAAGTCACGTGGGTCACGTGACAGCCGCTTAGTGGCGTCACTTTATATTGTGACAAAAGTGGTCAATCAGTCAGCTTCCAGGAATCAAACCGAGCTGATATTTTATTTCTGGGACCCTTGGCCTGCGCTGAGGCTAAATCTGCCTTCTCCAGCACGTGGTGCAGTGTACAAGCTTATTGCGCCGTTTTCCTGTGGAAACATATCTTCCCCAGATATAGTAAGAGACTATCTTCAGCTTGCAGTCCTCAGGTTGAGAAAAAAAAAAAAAAAACTAAGACATGGCGTTTCCGTTTGCGGAATATGCCCTCGCTAGTGACATAGAAGATGAATTCGACCGGCTCGAATTTGGAATCGAATGTGACTTCTACATAAACACAGAAGAATCTCTTGCACCTTCAGTTCGTGTTGAGAATTATTCTACGTAAGAATCTCTTTTTTCGTTCCCCCTTCACTCTGCTTGTTGTTGCATACAAGTTATATTTTCTCCAAGTGGGACATAGGTAAATATGTGTATATAATTTTGGGTACAAATTAGCCTTATAAAAACCCCTCTGAGAACAAAGCATGTTCGAAATTCCGTTACTTTGAGCTCTTCAGTTCCGTCTCTGAAATAAAGTGTTTTTATATCATGGACATAATTGTCGTGATCCAGAATGATGATGATATTTCAATATTCTAAAAATAACCTTGCCATCGGTGATGATAGACAATAAGGATATTCTATGAACCCTGAAACAGAGATAAAAACAACCTTGCTACCAATGATGACAGATGAGAAAGATTTTTCATCATTCTAAAATCTGCACTATTTACATTATTCGGACTATCTTTGTTGCCATATTTATCACAACGTTTCGGCCGTTGTACGCTCCGGCCTTCTTCAGGTGGTTGGAATGTCGAACTGAACCCTTTATTTCGCTCACTGGGGTAGACTGTTCTAGTTTCACGGGACATGTTTAATGGATGTCAGTTATCAGTTATCTCCTGTTAATTCCTCTCTCCAAGTTCTCCACAGCCTTAACTAGGTATTGAACTCATACTCTTTGGGTCCTGTAACCGGATCTAATTAATGCCTTTATCCACATGACACAGTGGATAAAGGCATTAGTTCAATACCTTTCTTTCTTTCTTTCTTTCTTTCTTTCTTTCTTTCCCATTCTGAGTCATTTGCTTGAATTTATGTTTCTTTCTTCCCTTCTTTTTTCTTTGTTTTTTTGCTTGTTTTTCTTTTTCGATTCTGAGTCATTTGCTTCCATTTCTCTTTCTTTTTTCCATTCCATTGCATTCTTTCTTTCTTTCTTTCTTTCTTTCTTTCAACCTTCTTAGTCTCTCTTCCTTCTTCAACCCTCTTCTCTGTAAACATCTCTGACTTATAATTATTGTCAGCCATTATTATCAACTTTTGATTTGTATTTTTTTAAATTACGATCTCTTCCTTCATTACTGTTCTTTCTATCTTTCTCTCCCTCCCTCTTTTCCTTCCAGTATTATCCTACTTTACCACCCTCTCATTATTCCCCCTCTCCCCTTCCTTTAAACCTTCTTCTTTACTACACTTTCTTTCTTTTCCTTTATTTTCTCTCTTCCTTTCCTTCCAGCCTATTTATTATCACCCCTTCTTCCTTTCCTCTCCTACTCCTCCAATTTGCAATTCAGCCTTTCTTCCTTCCTTTGACCACTCTTCCTTTCTTTATCTCTTCTCTTTAATGGAATCTTTTTTTGACTTTTCTTTCATCCTTCTCCTATTTTGCCACTACCTCTTTCTTTCCCCCCTTTCCTTCCAACTTTGTCCTTCTCCGTCATTTTTCTTTCTTCTCCGATTTTCCTCCCCTCTCTCCCTTTGTCCCCCTTTCCTTGCACTCTTCTTTCTACTCCCCCATTCTTCGTCACGCTCTTTCTTTCCAACCTTCTCCTTCTTAGCCATTATTTCTTTACTTCTTTTCCTCTCGCTCCTCCCCTCCTTCCAGCCATTTTATTACCGTTTCTCTTTCCTTTTTCTTTTCCTTCAAAACTTTTCCTTATTTTTCAGAATTTTTCCGCCCCCTTTTCCTTCCTCTCCTTTTCTTCTTTCCTTCCTTTCAACTTTCTCTCTCTTCGCTACTCGTTCTCTCTTTCTCCCAGCAACCTTCCTTTTCTCGCCCCCCCTTCTTTCCTCACTTTACCTTTTCACTCTTTCTTCATTCTAGTCTTTTTATTGGCCTTTTCTTTTCTCCCCCTCACTTTTTCAGCCTACTCTTTGTTCTCATCCTTTCTTTTCCTCCTCTTTTTGCCTCTCACCCTTTTCTTCTAGTCAAATTTTCTTTTATATATGCAAAAAAGGCTAAAAATAATGGAAGCCTTATTAATAAAAACAAAAAAACAACACTTAATAATATTAACTTTGAACATGGACACAATATCCTGACCATGCTTTGAAAAATGAAAACATTTTATAAAACATACATACAACAAACTATTTCTTATTTTAACAGTTAAAATATAATCCTTGAAAATGGCTAAATGTATAGCCGAAAGCGCTTGGATAAAGAAAACATTCGGACAGTTTTTATATAATTTATCACCCGAAAAGAAAAAAATTATTAGATCGTATGAGAAATTGTATAAAAAACTAAATAAATGAAATGAAATATGCATGAAAGAAGGATTGCTGCCTAAACACACACACACACACACACACACATATATTATTCCGGTAGTCATATTAATTTATTAATATATATATATATATATATATATATATATATATATATATATATATATGAAAATTTCTCCGATTTAATCGGTAGAGAAGACAATATTATGAATAAAAATGACAATAGGAAAACTGGTAATTGCTGACGCGTTTCGTCCAATTGAAATAGTCACAAACACCTCCAAAACCATTATAGATATACTAAGATCTTCAAACAATAATAGCACTAATATTTCTGAAGCAGGCATTTATAAAATAAATTGCCAAACTGCTCCTCCCAATATATTGGAGAAACAAGTAGAAGTTTGAAAAAAACGCATTTATGAGCACAAAAGAGACCTCACAAAAAAACAACTTAGCTAATGCAATAGTAATACATAGAAATAAATACAACCATAATTTTGATTTTAAAAATGCTACACACAAAAAAAGAAAATCACTCACTCAGAAGGAAAAATTTTTGGAGAGTGCCGCCATAGAAAATTATCCAAATATCAATTTACGCCCAGGCTTTTTTCCCTATTTCACCTTTCTTAACAAAAATTAATGCTCTTACAAACAAACATGCACAACAGATTCATAAAATCGAAAGAAAAATGGTTGAATACATCAACACAGATATAATGACAATATTCTCCACACGTGACAATCTCTGATGTTATTTCTCATTTAAAAATATGAAAAATAGCGTTTCTCTACATTCCAGTTGCTAGGTACATTCTGTTTTGTTTTTTATTAGTTACTTTGTTCATTTAATTTCATTTTCGTATTTTGCTTTGATAAAGTCCACATTGGACGAAACGCGTCAGCAATTACCAGTTTTCCTATTGTCATTTTTATTCATAATATTGTCTTCTCTACCGATTAAATCGGAGAAATTTCATATATATATATATATATATATATATATATATATATATATATATATATATATGTATGTTTCCGGTAGTCATATTAATTTATTAATTATATATATATATATATATATATATATATATATATATATATATATATATATGTATTATTCCGGTAGTCATATTAATTTTTTATATATATATATATATATATATATATATATATATATATATATATATATATATATATATATTGCAATGAAAGTATATATATATTTATATATTATATTTTATATTACATCGAGCACTATTTTATTAACACTAGCACTTAATGTGCAATATCTTATATTCATATATATATATATATATATATATATATATATATATATATATATATATATATATAAAAGACAGAGAGAGACAAAGAGAGAGAAATAAATTATCTTTATTCCCACTCTTTCTTCGCTCCAGCCGTTTTTTCTTTGCCATTTTCTTTCTTACTTCATTACCTTCCCTTTTCTCTTCCCCCTTCCTTCTACCCTTTTTATTGTCACTCTTTCTTTCTTTCCTTCTCTTAATTTCTCCTTTCTCCGGTTCCTCTCTTTCCTTTCCAATCTTCTCTCTTTTTTTTGCCACTTTTCTTTTTCCCTCTTTCTTCCTCTCTTCCTTTCCGACTGGCCTTTTGATTGCCTCTCTTTCTTTTTTTTTCAACTCTCTTTTCTCCTCCCTTACTTCAATATTTTTTCATTCCTCCTCTTTCTTTTTCTTCCCATCCTCCTTCCAGCCTTCTCTTTGCTATTTTCTCCTTCTTTTCAACTCTCTCTTTCTTTTCCACTCTTTCTTTCTCTTTTCTCCTTTCTTATCTTTTCTCCCCTCCTCCCAACTATTTTTCTGTCACTCTTTCTTTTATTCGCTTTACCATTCTCTTTCTCTTTCTCTTTCCAACCATTTTTTTTTTTCACTGAAAGCAGCCGACTGCCATTTCTCTTCACACAGATTGAAATGAAACTTTCAAAATCTTAAACCGCTTAACAAGGAATTATGAGCAACACGTTCTTTCTTTTATTAATCTTCGCTGCATTTTTTCTCTCCATCGGTCAAAGTAAGTGTCCATTTAAATACTTTCCTTTCACTTCTGTTTATTCTATAAATGAATTCAATAAATAGCGCGCTTGAGTTTTTCATTAATTTTTAACAATCTTCATCTTTGAATTTAAAAAAGAAAGAAACTGTTCCTCTTTATAAAAATATTATCATAATTCCAGACGATATAATTTTAAATTTTATTCTGACTATGAATTTATTTCTAATTGTAAATTTAATTCTGATTGTAAATTTAATTCTGATTGTAAATTTAATTTTAATTATGAATTTAAAAAACAAGGTGAAAGAATAGTAATCAAAAGTTAATTAAGTTAATAAACAATTTTTAATCTAAGAAATTTAAGCAACTATCACTTCTTCTATATACTGTGTCTTTTCATGAAGTGGGCGATCATGGCTCTCCACAATCTTCTGTCCTTTTTAGCTCTTTGAGAGTTTTAACTTATTGCTCTCTCTCCCAATCCTTGTTCTGCCAACCATTTGCACTAATTCGTTGGGCAGATTACTCGCTGCTTTCTTCTGTCCTTTTTGCCTTCAATATATCCTGTGAGTGTCAATTTTTCCAAGCCCTCTTTTTTCATTATATGACTTGAAAATTTCAATTGTCGCTTTCTGATTTAAAGTTAGTCTTAGTGGCTTTATTGCTTTGCTTCGGGTGAAATGATGAAAAAACTAAAAAAAACTAAAAAAAAACAGTGTAAGCATTCTTTTTGTTTCCATTTTTTCTAAAACTTCGTCATTGCTCACATGTTTTGTACATGATATTCTCAGCATCCTTCTGTAGAACCACATTTCTATTGCTTCAAGTATGAGGAGATTGTCCACTGAAGGACTGATGTTACATGACAGTTCAGTTCTCTTTTATTTGTTTCTGACGAAATTTTCCTGTTTCTTAATACTTTGCTTAGCTTTTGGAAGGCACCTTTCGCTATCCCAGTGAGTACTTCGGATTGCGGTGTCAGACTTTTCATTCTCTGTTAAATTACTTCCCAGATATTTAAATTTTTGTACTTGCTTGATTTTGGCGTCTTCACTTTGTAATTTGCGTGTTGGGCTGCCCCTTTTGCTGACAACCACGCATTCTGTCTTCTTACATATTTAAACAATATCACACACATGTCGCAATCATATTACATACTTCTCATATCAACTCCTTTCACATTCCTATCGTACACCTTATTTAGTAACCCTCTGCTTTGAGTGGCTCTCTTGAGCCTTGTATTAGGTGAATATTAATAGAACATGTTGCCATTTCGTCTCGATTTCCTTTAATAACTCTTGCGAGAGTTCCTGTAATTTCCTTTCTGTGTTTGCTATCAACACTGTGTCATCTGCATATCTTATGTTGTTAAAATTGTAGCCGCCAATAATGGACGCTGATAGGACTGCTTCAATGAAAAGGTTGTATAAGTCCGATGAGAAAACACATCCTTGTCTTAAGAGAAATACGTTGAAAGAATGACTATTAAAAATCAGTTACGATATAAAATGAAAGGACAGGTGGACAAAATGTTTTTATCTGAGGAATGTTATGACTCATTTCAAACTATTTTATGGCGTGTAATCTAAAAATAACACCCATTTCCAACTGTTAACTTTAGTTTCTTTTGCTCCAGAATACCATATTCTTTGTAAAGAATTGTCATGATTGCGTTGAGTGACTGTAAATGGAAAGGAAAAATAAATTCTCATTAAATACAAACGTTTTGGGAAATAAACCACAACTTCTGAAAATACGAAACTACAATTAAATAGTATGTGATTAAAATTAACACTTGAATCACATAAAACATTTTCACAAATCATATCTCAAAATTAGCATCATAAAAAAGAACCCTAAAACAGAAGTGCTTCAAAATAATCAGATACCCTAAATAGGCATCAATAAAACCACACTAAAACAGAAGTCCTTTACAACAATCACATGCGCTAAATAGACATCAATAAAAATCTCCCTAAAACAGATGTGCTTTAAAACAATCAGATGCCCTAAATAGGCATCAATAAAATCACCCAAAAAAGAGAAGTCCTTAAAACAATCAGAGGCTTCAATAAAATCACCCTAAAACAGAAGTCCTTTACAACAATCACATGCGCTAAATAGACATCAATAAAAATCTCCCTAAAACAGAAGTGCTTTAAAACAATCAGATGCCCTAAATAGGCATCAATAAAATCACCCCAAAAGAGAAGTCCTTTAAAACAATCAGAGGCTTCAATAAAATCACCCTAAAACAGAAGTCCTTTACAACAATCACATGCGCTAAATAGACATCAATAAAAATCTCCCTAAAACAGAAGTGCTTTAAAACAATCAGACGCCCTAAATAGGCATCAATAAAATCACCCCAAAAGAGAAGTCCTTTAAAACAATCACCAGAATGGCGAATTATATTTCACAAAAATCCCTAAACACCTACATATACCTCTCTGCAATATTCACTTTTTAAAATGACTTGAACTGAAATGATCTTTAGCATTTTCCAGAATTTTTAGCCGAATAATGGACGAATAGAAATCATGATAGATGTTCGGATATTTAATAGATGTCCTTCAACTAAACTTCAATCTCCAAGAATATTACGACAGAACAATAATCCAGCAAATATGTACTCAATTAGTAATCCAATTCTATCACTGACAATCACGAATGCTTTGTCGCAGACGACGTAAAGGGATTATATACAGGGCCATTAAATTGTTTTCATTTATAACTTAATAATAGAGTTACGATGCCATTATCCTTATTCGTTACCGCAATATAAAAATAGGATTTTTCAGCAATCAAGGATTCAATAATATTCGTTTCCTTTTGTTTTGCATGAGCCATTCAATATTGATTTGGACATTATCGGAAATTTAGCTACACGTAGTCAGTTTTTTTTAATACTGCTGATTTTCGATAATGTAGTAGTAGTAGTAGTAGTCATTTTTCAGTAATGATTTGATTTATTTCTGTTCGGGATGTGCTTTATGGGGCAGTGGATATCGGGTTGGAATGAGAAAGTTGAAAGTCGAGTTCGAATTCCAGTCGGGTTTGTTATATTCACTTATGTGCAAATACCCTTGGGAAAGATATGAATCCTTCCAGCTATAGATAGAATAGCAGGACATATTCGATCCTATAGCCTTGGTTAACAACCAGTCTATCGCAAGAAGAAACGGCAGCCTACTGCGGGAATATCTTCTACCGAGTCAGTCATGAATCGAAAGAGACATGATCAACCAAGTATGTATCACCTATGACACTGAACTGAGTTATTTTTTTTTTAAATACTCAAGGTCTGTACAGCAACTAACAAGTAAAAATGGACGTTTATTTTGAGACATAGCGTTTCAAAATTCCTTGAAAAAATATAAGTCAGCTTGCGTCAAAACATACTTAGGTCAGTGCTTTGCTTTATATGAGAAATTTGCATAATATTATGTTTGAATCTGAAGCATGATTGGTTGATTAGTTTTTTATGGTTTATCAACACATTTGCAGGTTATTTATCACTAGAGAATATTTTTAAACTGTAAGAATAATATTTTTCAGGCAATAATGATTAACCCATATCTGGAGGGAAGTGAATTCATACCTAATCAGAATTTGATAAACAAAGAAGTGATAATTTGGATATTAAGAGAGGGGGTCAATTCTAAATTACAATCAAAACATAAACAGATCCCCCACTTTTTGGCCAGGGTAGTTTCTATACATTTATATTCCAGAGAATGTAAATAAATCTAAAATACATGCCTGAGTAGCTAATCAGTATTTGATTAATTCATTCATTCGTTTTTTTACGGTTTATCAACTCATTGCAGGTTATTTATAGTCAGATAATATTTTCAGATTATAAGATTGTTTTTTGAGACAATAATGGTTTAGTGATACAAGTTTTATAATTAACCCATGGCTGGGGGGGGGGTAAAGAGATGGATTCATATCTTTCGCAAGGGTATTTGTTCGTAAGTGAATATAACCAACCCAATGAGAATTGGAGCTCGGATCTCTGATTAACAATTCGGAGTCATTATCAATTACACCACCCGAACATCCAAGCTTACAGCGATTGGTATTCTGAAGCGGACGTTCTTTAACTTCGGTGATCGTCCCGGAACCAGTGTTTCAACGTGATATGGCCTGAATGTGAAACAAAAGCAAATGACTGAACCATTTTATAAGTTAACAGCTGTTGTTTTGAAAGGCATTTAGAAGTCGTAATTCTTAGTAAAAATGTAACTTTGACTTTTACAGGTAAAACTGGTCGAGAAGTCTGTCAAGAAAGATGTATTACCAATAAACAATGTCTAACTGTTCAATATGACGAAATTACTAACTTTTGTAGATTGGTAATCGAGTATAATTTTCCAAAAGGTAACGTACACTACTTATTCGAAACATACTTTTGGTATTTGTATCAATTTTAAGCAAAATAATCAAAATTTAAAGTAACATCTGTTTGTGTGCCCTGATTATCTTAGGGATTAGCAGAAGCTATTGAATTAATACGAATAAAACTTCACACGTAAAAAAATATATTAAGAAATGGACAAGGTCCGACAATTTATTTATTAAAGACATTTTTATGTTTAATTTATCTATAAATAACAACGTTAAACATAAAAATGGACATATTTAAATGTTATTTAATACCGTTTATCATAAACAGAGCATTTGCTTAAATACTTGTATCTATAAATAACAACGTTAAACATAAAAATGTCTTTAATAAATATATATATATATATAACTTACTATTAAGATAACGGAGCAGTCCATTTACTTAAGTGAAAAATAAGTATTATATTATTAAATCGACTCCCTATGAACAATTATTACCTGTAGAACAACATTTCCGCCTAGAAAAACACGATTTCAAAGCCCATGCCAGATTCACTATAATTGAGAGAATA